GGGGGGGGGGGGGGGGGTGATGCCAACCTCCGACTTTTGCGTGGGGCAATATGTGGGCACGTGGGGTATCAGGAACCGGCCCCATGACAGATTCACTAATGCCAGTCAATAATCCACGAGCCGGGCTGGCGACGGACGCTGTGCAAAATGCCTCGAGCACGAGCTGCCCAGTTCCGACGACCACGACGAGGGCGCGCACGGCCGCTGTGGGGTGGTGAAGGCGCCGTTGACGTGAGCCAATCAGCGCTTGGCTTGATCAAGGTTTTCCAGCCCGCTAGCTTGCTCTTGGAAAAGCTTAAATCCTACCGCAGAGCCGCACCACCACCAGCCCCTCCGCAGCAAAACGGCACTCTTCGATGAGGCCAGACGGCATGGCAAGACAACACAGGGCTAACATGGAAGCAGGCGTTCGGCCCTGCTACCCCGCATGTAGCATGTAGACTACGCGCAATGTTTCACAGTCTTAAAACCTCCCGCTATCCACTTATACCGCGTCGTAATGGTAGGGTTAGGCACAGACCACTGGCTTTTTTTTTTCAGACGAGGGTTGCCGCCAACCGTCGTGCTAGCGCCGCGGCCGCGCGCGCAGGCTTTTTGCCCTTGGCCCGCTGCCCACTGCCCGCGATACGAGCCATGCCGAGCTATTACCGCGAGGCCGCGACCACGACCGGGTTTTTTGCCGCGCCCATCTACTCCACAAAGCCTAGTTTGGCGTCATCCGTGCATGCGGTGTGTATGGGGTCGCCTCACGACGTTGCATGTCCGGTGCCCGACCCCAAGGTGGGGACGAAAAATGTTGAGTAAGGCCATCGACTCCACGATGTCGCCCACACTCGACGTATTGTGGGGAGGCCTTCTGGACTACAAGTAGCCGCCTGCTTTGCCCATCTCTTGTTTCCTCCTCCTGTGCAGTCTCGTTCGGCGCTGCTCTCCCCCTTTTACCTTTTCCCTCCTCTTCCTTCTTCCCCCTTACTCAACCACCATGGGACTCAGTGGCAAAACTCTCCAGACGGCGCAGCTTTTGCTCGTCGTCCTGCCGGCCTTTGTGCTGTTCGGATACAACCAATCCGGTGTCGGTGGTCTGCTCTCCCTCAGAGACTGGAACAACCACTTCCCCGAGATCAACACCATTGACACGCATGGCGCCGAGAAGAGCAGCAACTCGACCAAGCAGGGCGCCGTCGTCGCCACCTTCACCATTGGTGCTCTCTTTGGTGCTCTGTCGTGTTCCTGGATCGGAGACTGGCTCGGACGCCGAAAGGTCATCTTCCTGGCTGCCGGTCTGACGCTCATTGGCGAGATATTGCAATGCACCAGCTTCCAGCTTGCTCAGTTCGTCGTCGGCCGCTTCATCCTCGGATGGGGTGTGGGTGCTCTGAGTGCTACCGTGCCCGTATGGCAATCTGAATGCTCCTCTTCTGCCAACCGTGGTAAACACGTTGTGCTGGACGGATGCTTCATTTCTCTGGGCTACCTTCTCGAAGCCTGGATCAACCTGGGCTTCTTTGAACAACGCAACCTGCCTCTGCAATGGCGCATCCCTCTCGCCATCCCGACCGTCATCTCCGTCATCCCCATGCTGGCCGTATTCAGCATCCCTGAATCACCTCGCTGGCTCGTCAACAAGGGACGCGTCGAGGAGGCCCGCGCCAGTCTGTCCAGCTTCAAGGGTCTGGACTTGAACGACCCGGAGATTGCAAACGAGATTACCGGCATTGAGCTTGCTCTTGAGGAAACTGGTCGCAGTGCGGCAAAGATGAGCGACATTTTCACCATGGGCAAGGATAAGCTCTTCTACCGCTTTATGCTGTGCATTTTCCTCCAGTTTCTGCAGCAGATGTGCGGAAGCAACCTCATCTCTACCTACTCTACTGTAAGGCAGTCCTCGGGTTTCACACTGCCAATTACGTTACTAATGTATTCAAACAGATCATTTTCCAGCAAGGCCTCGGCCTCAACAGCGAAACCTCGCGCATCCTCTCCGGCGGCGCTCTGACCTGGAAATTCCTCTCGTGCTTTGTCGCCTTCTTTACAATTGACCGTTTCGGCCGTCGCAAGCTTTTCATGTTTAGCGGTGCGGGCATGGCATCCTGCATGCTCGCTCTCGCCATCGCCTCTAGCTTCCCAAAGACGAACCACTCTGCGCAAATCGCATCTGCCCTGTTTGTGTTCCTCTTCAACTTCTTCATTCCTATCGGCTTCCTCGGTGCAAACTTCCTCTACTGCACTGAAGTTGCGCCCACCCGGCTCCGCGTCCCCATGGCCGGTATCTCGACTGCGAACCACTGGCTGTGGAACTTTGTCGTCAACATGGTGACTCCTGTACGTGTCATCCCCTCTCCCCTATTCATCTCAACGCGCAATACACTAACACTAACTAGGTCGCCATCGAAACCATTGGCTGGAAATACTACCTCGTTTTCCTCGTCATCTCGGCACTCATCCTCCCCGTCGTCTACTTTGGCTACCCAGAGACCATGGGCCGCAGCCTCGAAGAACTCGAAGTCATGTTCACAGAGGGCACCAGCATCCGTGCTATCGTCGCCACCTCGCGCAAGCCCTTTACTGGCAGCATTGTGCCTGAGCATAAGTTTGAGAGTGCTGTTAAGGAGGAGGAGTACGCATAAAGTGTGAAGAGTCTGTTTTCTTTTATTTTTTTTATGATTGTTTGAAATGAAGCGTATGCGCGTTATGTGTGTGTGCATGTAAAATATTCGGAGCCCTCTTTCTCTCTCTATCTCTCTGTGAGGGTTAAGACGGAGCTGTTATGCTATGAGATATGATAAGTAACGCGTTTTTGTGTAAAAAATCATGAGTAGTGATTGAGCTTTTGTGTCCGCGTGATGATGCGCCTCTCTCCCTCTCCCTCTGCCTCTCCCTCTCCCTCTCCGCCACCCCATACCTTTATCCCTGTCCTACTTTGGAAAAAGGAAAAAAAAACACGGGATTCCCTCACACAGCCTGACTGAAATTGGAATCTCGCCTCACAAATACAGATACAGAATACAGAAAAAGGGTACACACCTACCAACCCGAATTTCTTACGTCACTGGACCTGATCGGCAGAACCCGAGTATGCACATGCACATGCGTATGCGTAGGTTGTAGTAGTGCTAGCTGCTAGCTGCTAGTACTAGTGGCAATGTCGCGAATGACGAATGACAAATGACAAATGGCAAGGCCGCACAGCAAGGCGCGAATCACAAGCCACAAATGACAAGGTCGCACAGCCAAGCGCCATCATTTTCACATCTAATTTCTCCAGCTATCTTTTCCTACTAGACTGAAATCAGTTCAGGCTGGAGGTATGGGGATTGGCATTGGGTTTAGTGCTGGCTGCTAGGTAGTGGTAGTGGTAGTTTGAATATGCGGGGGTTGACATGGATGCATGGATGGATGCATGGATGGGAGGGGGGGTGCCTGATTATCTTTCTAGCCCTAGCTGTAGTTAGTGATATGGAACATAGCAATATACCGGATTGTGAGTGTGAGTATATATATAGCGTTTCCCATCTCCGGGCTCTCGACATGTAAAACGGATGTAACTGTGTAGGAACGCGGGGTGGAGGACATGCACGTTTGGTGGAGCTAGTAAGTAGCTATACTTAAGTAGAGGAGGAATGCAATACGTAGGGTTTGTGTAGATTGCCAAAATATTCATGTACATACATGTACATATACCTACAGTACGTGGCTGATACAAGTGTCCAATACAGGGCTTGTTCGCCCGCGTGAAGGTTCTTTTTTACTGCCGTGCAAGTGGGTTGGAATAATCGTCTGAAGGTATGTGCTGGGTGTTGCGGCTAGGTAGGCGTGGTGGTGTTGAGGTACGTAGTTAAGTTAGTACTGGCCGCTTCTTTAATAGTATTAGAACAACTGTTTAAAACTAGTTACATACTTGGGAATGTATCACGCTAAGTTTTCCGTTAGTTTCTTTATAATGTCACAAATATAAGAAAAGGTACGTGCTGCGTTGCATTTTTTTGGGGGGGGGGGGGGTAGAAGTACGC